TGAATGTGCTGTGCTCTCAGACCACACCGTTGGATCCACACAGCAGGTTGTACTTCCAGCCTTTTCTTGACTGCTTGCTGTAGACTCTGTGTTCCCTTTTTTTAACAGTCCAGCAGTAAGTTTGTCTGACTTTGTTTCACTACAGCTGTGCTGAAGCTGATTCTGGTTTGGACTAGCTCAAAGCTCCACAGTAAAAGCTCTTCATGACTGTGGCCATTTTCCCACCAGAGGTATGGCTGTAAGTTCAGTGTTTCTTCACACTTTGCTCCTCTTCGAGTGGCTCTCTGCTGGAGGAGCCGCTCGCTTGTTGCGATGGTGAGGGAATGTTGGCATCAGCTCTGGTTCGCAGGCTGGAAAGAGAAGCACAGAGGCACACAGAATGACTCACGGCAGGTCGGAGGACAGACAGACGTCAGCTTGTGCATATCCGCAATCTTTATACTCACGTAGAGGTTTCTCTTTGAAGTACGAACTCTCCAAGCAATCTTTAGCAGTAGCTCTGAGAATCAGGAAAAATACAAGAAGTTAGTGATGCCTCGTATGCAAATTCATGCGACTCCTTCATTTTTCCCACAAAAAAAGCTTAGCTTTATCAGAGCTGTAGTCTAGATTCCAGCCAGAAACCAGTAGAGCTAAATGTACCTGCGCTGGGGGTTGTACATGAAGAGCAGGTTAAGCAGTCTGTGTCCAGCATCAGACAGCCAGGTGAATTTGTTCTTCAGGTTGTTGTATGGCTGCTTCCTCAGGCTGTACTGACCGATGAGGGGAAGCTGAGAGAAACCCTGTAACACACACAACAGATCTCATTTCTCAGCTTTGTGCAGACTGCAACCTATTTTAGACTAAACGAATAACTGAGGATTTGTATCAATGTCATATGTCTAGATATTAGAGTATCAGATGGAAAGTCGGTTCTTGTAGTTGGAGGCAGAAGAAGGAAAGACCTGAGTGATTTTACCAAGAATCAGACACTGAGACAGTAAGGCCTTTGAGTTGTGCCAATCATCGGCTGCTTTTACCTTGTTTTCCCTTAATGGGTTTAATGTTGCTGAACTTGTTGATGGCATACAAAAAAGTAGAAATATATCAGTTTAAGACTGCTTTAGCAATAAAAGCTAAATGCATCCAATTCAATAGTTTAACATCAGACAGTGTGAAAGCTGAGTCTTACCGGCCAGATGTTTTCATTGGGTGTTCCCAGCAGCTGAACGATCAGGTCGACCTGCTGGATCTCAGAGGTTCCAGGCAGCAGAGGTTTGTGGGCAAGCAGCTCAGCCAGGATACAGCCCACTGCCCTGTAAAGGAAACACCACGTCTGGCTTTAATTTCCTGACGGATCCTCAAGGGATATGAGGCCTTTTCCCTTTGGCACAGAATTTATTAACTTAGGACAATTATACATATCTTATTTTGTTTAATTTTGTTTCATCTACTGGCAGGCCACGTTTTTTAGTATGAGGGTAAACAAAGCTTCAACAAAAATAAGCACAGCCTCCATAAAGAGAGTGCTTTGATAGTACAGCTGTAATTACTATCCTATAATTAAAGTTTCCTAAAGAGATTATGATAAGAACGCAGTGTAGGTAGAGTGGTTAAAAGCTGGTTATTAGATGCTTCCTTGTGCAGTATACTGATCCTAAGCGTATAGATTTCACATGTATTTCCTCACCACATGTCCAGAGCCGTAGTCTGAGTCTTCGTCCCTAGGAGGAGCTCTGGTGCTCTATACCTGCACGAAGGAGAGCATATTAGGATAGCGGCCCGAGGTAATGGAGCTAATAAGGGAGGATTATTGTGAGGGGATTACAAGGGAGTTTCCACTGAGGCTGCACCAGCACAGCAACACAAGGGTTATATGCAGGGCACAACACCCACACAGAATACCTCAAATGAGTTAGACTAACTGGGTAAACACTCACCACAGCGTAACTACTCGTGGTGTCATGGGTTGCTGAGGAATGCCGTACATCCGGGCCAGACCGAAATCAGCTGTGTGCAGAAAATAACGAGTACTGATCAGTTCAACATCAAGTAATCTGATTTTATCTGATTTCAATTTATTTTTAATGGGTAATCAAAGGTAGAATGTCTAAATATCACTTCTCCTGATTACAGTGGGATTAAACAGCAGAAAAGTGCACAATGTTAGGGAGGCAGTTTTAATGTTGTGTCTGAGAGTCCAACACCCTTCGGGAACAAGTCTGGCTTATGCTAGGCTGTGCGAGCCAAGCTATGGCAACGGTTGTATAAGGATCGAATGTGTTGTAGCAATGGGCCAGACACCCCATATTTCTGAAGCACCTCCCACTGGACACTCCGAGGGACACAGTCGAATGCCTTCTCCAAGTCCATAAAACAGATGTAGGCTGGCTGGGCAAACTCCCATGACCCATCAAGTATCCTTGAGAGGATAAAGAGCTGGTCCAGTGTTCCACGACTGGGACGGAAACCTCATTGCTCCTGTATCTGAGGCTCGACTAACGGATGGACTCTCCATCCCAGCACCCTGGTATAGACTTTCCTGGGGATGCTGAGGAACTATAGGGGGATGATGACCCCCCTATAGTTGGAGCACACACTCCGTTCTCTCTTCTTGAAGATGGGAACCACCACCCCGATTTGCTAATCTAGAGGTAATGCCCCTGATCTCCACATAACATTATAGAGGCGTGTCAACCAAGACCGCCGTACAACATCCAGAGTCGCCTGACGTTTTGCTAGAATCTCTTTTTGGAGTCCGTAAGCCATTTCAGGTTTGTTTATTTATTTAGTATGTATTTAGAGTACCAAATCACATCAGAAGTTCCCTCAAGGGACCTATTATTATATGGTAAAGAAACCTGCAATAATACAATGTTTAGATAATGTCTATATTAGAAAAATGTTTTCTACCATCAGTTCATTAATCAACAGTTAAAACTTTGTTGTCTAGTAAAATTTAGTAAAATTCAGATAAAAAAAATAATCTGACATTTGAGTCGGCAAATACACTTAGAGGCCACTTTTTAAAGAACACCTTGTTATTAGTGGGTTGGACCCCCTATTTCCCTTCAGAGCTGACATAAATCTAGCTGTGTGATGGAACTGGAATTAATTCCTTAATTCTAGTTCTCTTCTTCATTCTCTGTAAACTCCACAGATGGTTGTGTGGGAAATTCCCAGTAGATCACCAGTTTCTGAAAAATACCCAGACCAGCATGGCACCAACAACAAGACATCATTAAAATTGTCTTTCTTCCCCATTATGGTGCCTGATTTTAACCCAGCAGGCCATCTTATACTTGTCTACACGATTTTAAAAAAAACACCTGTTATTACAGTTTTCCTTAAAACTGACAATGAAAAAAGTGTGTGTGTGTTTCTTTTTTAAATCATGGTGGCAACAACACTGATAGATAAAAAAAACACTTCAGCCATCACTGTCACTGTGTGACAGGTCAAAGTTCAGCAGTGGCAGGGTTTGGGAGGCATGTCAGTAGGAGTATAAGGTGATTACAGTAAAAGCTGCAGAAGAGATATGATAACAGAGGTGACTCACCAATCTTTACGCAGCCTTTGTCTGTCATCAGCAGATTAGACACCTTCAGGTCTCTAATAACAAGATTAGAGGAAGATCATTATGCAGCACAGCTCTGCTCTAACTCGTCCTGCAGCAGGAGCATGTCTTTTCTCTTGGAAGATTTGTTCAGGCTTAGTCAAGCTGAATGGAGAGAGTCAGTAAATAGCTTCTTGCCTTTCACCTCAGACTATGATCCCAACACTCTAACTCTGGTAAAGGAAGGCTCAACAACAAGGTACAACAAAAATGTTAAATTCTCTGATTTCATTTACAAAACCCAAAAACTTGTTGGATGATCTGAACCTCGTAGCAAACCAGATTATTTGTCAGATAATTGTGTTAAAATACTCTAAAAGGCACCAACAGCACAAACACAGCCCAGTGGACAGAAGGGGAACTGCAGTCACTGGCAGTTCTGCATTAGAGTAATCTTACGTGTAAGGTCCACTACTTTACACTTAAGATTATTTAATTAAAATGTCAAATTTTAAACAATTATGATAATAACAAATTAAAACTTCAGCTGGTCCTCGTAATGGTGTGAGACCAACCTGTGAATAATGAAGTTGTGGTGGAGATACTCCAAACCTCTAAGCAACTGGAGAACGATGCACTTAACCTGGAACACAACAAAACAGAAAAAAAATAATAATGGAATAACTGGTTGCATCAACTTCTACTGTACATGAATATGGAGGCCATGTAAAAAGCAAAACATCCATTTTTACACTCACATGCAGACACAAGAAAAGAATAGCAATCACTTTAGGTAGAAATGAACTTGCAGGAATGTATGAGTTTGATTTACCTGCGCCTCTGAGAATGGCGTCTGCATGTTTTCCAGCAGACTGGCCAGATCTTGTTCACAGTAACTCATCACCAGAAATAGGCTGAAAAGATCCAAAAAGATTAAGAAAGTTTATGTTAGACAGTAAAACAATTAAATTAAATCCAATTTTATGTATACAGCGCCAAATCACAACCACAGTCGATTCAGGCGACTAAGGTCACAAAAACTGGGGAAACAAACAATGAGGATAATTCCTTATCTATATTATACCGGCTACACACCAGTTTAACCACCTGAGCTTAAGTCTAAGTTTTAGTTAAATCAGTGGCATCTTTCAGACATGAGTCTTCTTTTTTCAGGGACCTGATACAAAGTGGACATAAACTCAAACTGAACCAATGTTGTAGACCCTTCAAAAACAAGCAGACTTTTAGAATGAAATGTGCTGGACGCACAACGTGACGAGGAGAAAGGTTTCTTTAGACTGCTGGTTTGTGTGTGTGACCACAGTCCAGCAGATTTCTATACCACCGCTCTGAAGTACGAAGCAGGATTTGGTAATCAGCAAGTTAACATCAGATTTAACCCTGGGTGTTCATTTATACTAAGGTGGTTTCCTTCTTACATTGCCATGGTAACTTATTCTGCAAGATCTTCATATACAAAACCAGAGCCTACCGACCAATCTCTTTTCGTCACCATCTTAGACAGCTAGACTTTTTTGCACAAATAATAAAGGTGTCCAAAGTGTTTAGAGACTGTCTAATGTTTTTGTCTTTCCTTGAAGAGCAACAATAAGAAAAACAGACCGTTCACAAGAAAACGTATTACTCATTTTTATTCTTTTAGACTTTTTTAAAGCTATTTTGTTATTTTTATAAGCCTTAACACAGAAAGAAAATCCTAAAACAGGCAACTAAGTCTTGTGCTTGATAAAATTATATTAAATTTGTAAGTAAAGCTTCTTACTGGTTTTAACTCATTGACACAGAATCTATAAAGTGACACAGTTAATGAATCCTGTGTAACTAAGTCCTAATGGTCACTCAAAGCAATTTCCCCTGGAAGCCAGATTCACACATTAATATAATGATTTTTCTGTCATACCACTTGGGCTCAGGAATAACAGTAAAGTTGACCCAGCTTGGACACAGTATAAATAATGTTTATCACAGCCCTTCCTGAGTGGGTCCTGGGTATTTCCATCTCTTTCTGGTGTTATAGTTTCTCTTTGTTTGTAAGATAGTTCATTCTGCTGCCAGCAGTCATGTCCATGTTTGTTATTTGTTACATGCCACGACACTACTCCCTTTCATCCTAATATCGAATTGATTTAAAAATTTTATTGTTTACTTATAAAATTTTAAACAATATGGCACCTGACTATTTAGCTGATCTCCTCTGTCTGTACAGCCCTCAGAGAGCACTAAGATCATCGGACCAACTGCTCTTAGTGCAACCTAGGTCTCGGCTGAAGACCAGAGGAGACCGTGCCTTTGCCGTTGCTGCACCCAGGCTATGGAATACTCTCCCTCTTCATATTCGCGCGTCAGATTCCATTCAGTCTTTTAAATCACGTTTAAAAACGTATTTGTTTGATCTGGCATTTAAGGCGAATTAGGGTAATTTACATCTGGCTCTGTATTTAGATTATGTAATCATCTTATATTTTATATATTTGTAATTTATATTTTATTGTGATTTTATCTGTATTGTGATTTTACTGGAAAGCACTTTGGTGTACTTCGGTCTTAAAAATGTGCTATATAAATAAATTTTGATTTGATTTGATTTGATCTCATGTGACTGTGAAAATGAGAAACATTGAATTCATCTGCTTAGCCTAATTTAAAAAGTCAAAGTAAGTGAAACATGATTTTTTTTTTTTTTTTAAATTGCTGGCTATGCTGAACTGGTTTGGCACCACAGGGCCCAGGCATAGTTAAAAATATGAGTAAAGAGCAGCTGATGCAACTGGCCCCAAAGGCCACACATTGCAAGATCAACAGAAGCAACAATAAGACTAGTATCAGATCAATCTATATACTAAAGCATTTATTGTGGGTGTGTCCGTGCAGTACCTTTCTAGCTGAGTGCCGACAACCACCTCTTTCAGCTCCACTATGTTGGGATGTCTCAGCCTCAGCAGCAGTGTGATCTCTCTGAGGCTGCTGATGGGGACCCCTGACAGATGAGGAACAGATGTCACCGATTTTTTCAGTTGATGGTGGTGCAAAAATTTGATTTTTTAAAATTACATCTAGTTGTATGAATAAAGCTCTCGATCAGAGATACCCATAAAAAAAAAATAAAGCATGCAATGGTCTCACCATCTTTCTCTGCATCCATTCGCACCTTTTTCAGGGCAACAATCTCATCTGACTTGGTGTCACGGGCACGATCTGCAGTGAGAAAAGGGAATTGATTATTTACAGAGCATGTCACATGGACAAACGGAAGTGTTAGTCCTCAGTATTTCCTCTGCTGTCCAACTTACACACAATGCCATATGTTCCTTCTCCTATTCGGTTGAGTTTCTCAAACTCTCTGACACTTCTGCAGCTCCCAAACTGAAGAGAGAAAAACAAGATAAAGAAACTGGGACTCAGTGAACACGTCACAGCCTTCAGTCTTGTCAAAAGAAGCAGTTTTTACGGTTTATAACGGATAAATGGATTGGCACTTCTCTACTCTGTCTTTGTGCTTTCTTGCTACAAGCCTCATTCAACCATTCACCTAACCATTCATTCACACATTCACACTCTGATGAATGCATCAGGAGCAATTGAGGTTCAGTATTTTGCCCAAGGATATTTCTGCAACCATTCATGAAGTGTGAAAATCCTTTAGATTTAATGATGCTCAACTAAAATAATTAACAAGAGACAAGTCAAAGGAGCTCCCACTGACTATCAAACCACACTGAGTCAACAAGAAGAATTGACTTTCAGGGCACTTTACCATTATCTATATGGGACAGGACGTTAAACAAAACAAAAACCCCACAAATTAACTAAAAGCCAACAGGCATTAGACGGCCATTCTTGGATGTCTTGTCATCACTTTTTCAATCAGACTCGATCAATCCTGGATGCCGGGGGAATCACTGGAGGAGGTGGATTTGGGTGCTTGAACTTGGAGGCTTATGTGCCATTTGAACCAAGTAATGAGATTGGCTGCTGCTGGAGACAAACAAGGCAACAATGTGCGCAGACTTCACCTTTAAAGGCGCCTCGCTAATTAATCAATTACGTCTATGCACACATAAGCGGTTTATTTACCGATAAAGTCTAGATGGGGAGCATGCTGCATGCAGCTAGCGTTTAGTTAGCATTATTCAGTTTCAGGGCTAAAGTATCGTAAATACTGACTGAAAGAAAGCTCTACAGCGAACTTTATTATTTTAAATGCATGCCGGGTTTTTTTAACAGAAGAGTTAGACTTGTAAAGTTGTGTCAGTTGGTATTCTGTATGTAAAATATCGTGGCTGATGGCAGAGTATAATTAAACAACCACGGTCATGAACGGACCCACACGGAAGGAGCTCGTTCTCTTACCCTGTAATTTTGAGGCACTGTGAAAGTTTTATTCTCCTTAAGAGACTTCAGCTTTATGGGGTCCGGTTCGTCCTCTCCAGCCGCGTCCATTGTTTTATTTAAATGCAGTTTTTGGACTAAAATAAGTCCCGAAGAGAGCACATCTACAAACAGCAGCACCTCATTCAGCCGCCATTGAGGTTTGTTTTGGTAAGGGGAGGACAACCAACAGCTTTCCCGGAGTTTGTGAACGGCTTCTGCGTCCCATACCTGGACCGATACCTGTCAATTCCGGAAAAAATCATTTTTGGAAAACTGTAAAACAAGGGGGAAAATGAAATAATTGACATTTAAAGAAAAACAGGCCACATACAGCCAGCAAGAAACGTACAAAATATTAGTGAATTAAATATGCTATTTATCACATTTCTATTACTGTAAACTCAACATTTTTGCTAAATGTTACTTTGATAAAGCGGCAATAATATCTGATGATTGCCCTTTTATTATAATATATAGTTTTAAAACTATATTCTATATTAAAAAAATATCTACATTGAAATATATTTATATAGAAAAACTGACTGAATGCTGTATTTCAGGACAGTGAACAATGCCGAAAATAGGCCTTTGGAGGTAGACTACACTTTATGACTGGACAACATACAGAGGTCTTAGTAAACAACTTTTTCTGGCTGCAGTACATTTAAACTATATTATTTTTTGTGGTGGATGCCCAGAAATGTTTTATACATACAGGTAAAAACAATTGATAAATAAATATTTTGGGATGGGATTATAAATTATTACAGAATAAACAGATTAACTCTCCTTCACAACAACAGTGTCACAAGATGAGGATGGGGGACCCATGGATACACAATCTAATATCGTCATGTTGGTATTGTTCCTGGATCAATAAAACTAATGTTGGCCCATGTTCAATACTGCAGGTGGCCAATCATATTGTAATGATATCATATTTTTTACGTTGTGGAAACACAATCACACCACACACCAATCCGTAACTCTAACCCTATCAGATAGACCAAGCCCAGACACCCTGCAGAGGAAGATAATTTCCTCCACAGGTTAAAAATAAGCCTATTATATCCAGTAAACTTTGAACTGTTGGGAGTTTCCAGTCCCTGGCCAGTTGCGTGTGTTGGTAGTAATCCAATCTTCTCAAGCTTGGCATGAGTAGCAGATTCCAAGATATCCTGGCCTTTAGTCCTTTGTCTAGGTCAAGACTTTTTCCACTTTCAATTAACAAACCAATTGTGTCTTTTTCCATTACACACTGTTTTGTAAATACCCATATCTCTACTTCTACAACAAGATAACCCAGAAGTGCATCAGCAATAAGGAGCTCATAAGATCAGTTCCCTTTAGAGTCCAGTCTGTTGTAGATTGATAATAATAATAGTAATAGAACACTGTAAAACTCGCACAAAGGACAGTGGACTAAAGTCACCCTCTTTTGTCATTATTAACCTAATTACTGGATATGTTCACCTGACTGAATGTGACCACTACAATCAACCAGAGAATAAGCTGCAAACACACAAAATGCCCATAAAATCAGAGTGCAACAAAGGAGCTGCAAAGAGTCTCAAAACGACTGTGAAGCATCAAAAATAACCAAAGACCTACAAAATTGCTGCAATGGGAGGATAAAGATGACTTCAAAGAGAACAAATTTGTACAAAAAGATACAAAATGGCTCAACATAGGTCAAACATGCACTAAACCATCTCTTGCCCTCACAATTCTTCAAATAAGCACATTATTTAAGAAGTAAAAGTAAGTTGTGCTAGTGTAAAAGATTTGCAGGTAAAAATGATAAGTTCAATACTGTTCAGCACTTCACAGCTGCTCTCACACGCACACCAGTGTCATGATTCAGTTTCGGGGTGATTCTTCATCACACTCAGCAAATAATCAGTCATCTCTCCTTCCAGTTTACCTCTTGTGATAGACATTTGGAGTTACTGTCTGGTTGGTAGTTTCTTCCCCACTACGAAGGGTGCAGACCCAGGCCGCTGCTCTTTTATGGCATCGGCTATCGTGATTTTGGATGGCGTGGCGTAGATGTCGTCCCGTGATGGAGCTGTGATGAGTATGATGGGTGTTCGCTGCGAGGAGTCAGGCGATTCTGTCTCAGTGTTTGGTTTTAAACTGGGGGGGCTCTCTGAAACTGGTAGGTAGAAAACCATTAACTTAGCCTCCTACCCTCGTAAATGCTCAAGTGAAGTGAGAGAATATTACTATAAAGCCTGGTAAACAGTCAGTAACAGTTTACGTTTAAGTGATGCAATGTCTCCAAAGAGGCCCATTTAAGTCATATTTTTAGTCCTTGTCTTTGGATTTAAAGATATCCAGATATTTTCAGGAGCTTCAGGAGTTGCTGATTTAGGTCTGTTTTCTTTGAAATGACAATTGCAGTAATTACACATTTGTTATGCAGTCGAATTTTGTTTTTATTGGACATCCAAGTGAAACCTTTAAAGATAAAACATCATTATTGGCTGTCATTGGCCTACTACCAGTCAGACCTGGTAATGACCTGCTCAGGTGACGTATGCCTGCTGCCTAGAGGATATCCAGTGCGTTTGTTTGTATATATACGTCACACAGTGGAAATTTGTATTTGTCTTGTATATTGTTTTTATTCTGATTTTTAGTGTTTATTTATGAGTGTCGTTTTATTTGCATGGTTTTATTCTGTTTCTATTGCATGGTTTTTAGTGTTTTATGTGACATGGTTTTTATCCACTGTGGACTGGCTGCACATGGGACAAATTAGCTGATAGGGACCACCTGCTGAGGCAGGGGTGTGTCCAGAGTTGGCCTATCAGCTGTGTAAAGACCTTTTAAAAGCAGGCTAGCTGAGCACTGAAGGAGAGAGGCCCCAGACTGGAAGGTTAATGCTAGATGGCCAGTGTGACACGGCGTCCCAGTCCTGACCTCATGGAACGGCAACAGTAGGAGACAATGCGTGTGATTGGCAGCAGGGCAGAGGTTTAAGCTGGGCTGGGATGTGATGGGCCAGTGGAAGGACAAGAAGATGGGAGGCTCTTCCTTGGCTGCCGAAGACGAGGCTGGCCTGGACTCTGCTCTAAAGAAGGAATTCCTGGCCTGCTGATGGACCCATAATGAACATGTGGCATAATTATAGCAGGGGGGGTTTTAGTGAATGTAGAAAATGGTAGTTTTACGGGTTTTAGGATTGTTTTTAGTAGAGAGCAAACATTTTATTACATACATTTTAAGGGTGTTTTTATTTGTGCTCCCTGGCCTAGTAATAAACTGTTTCTGATCAGACCTGCTTCCTCTCTGTGCCTGTGGTATCTGACTCGCTTGCTCCCCCATGAATTTTAAAGAGTCTTTCTTTTTAGCATGACATTCTGGCGCGACTGCTTTAATGTTGTCAGTTTGTTACATTATATAAACTTACGCTAATAGCACCTTTTAAATTGGATTGTAATTATGGTACTTAGAGTTGGGTCTATGCCAGCAATTCAATTCAGTTGTATTAATATCGCTCCAAATCAAAACAATAGTCACCTCAAGGTGCTAAAGATCATACAAATATAACACACAAGAACCACAATTAAAGCTACTGATGATCATCAACAAATATGTGGTACAGAACACTTTTGTCTCAACTCTTCTTTAACAATCTGTACATACACAGTCTTGTTAGATTAATCTAAGTACAAATACTTGAGCCACCTGCTGCTGTTTGTGTTTATTTGAAGAGTTTTTTGAACTGGATGTTTTTTAACACCACAGATTAGATCAAAGCGGAAGTATTATAACTGTTTCTTTCAGTCAACCTGTCATAACTAAACTGTTGTCACAGTTATCATAGACTTCTGACCACTGCACACAAAGACAGGTGATTTCACGTTAAATACTACTGTCATTCATCATACATTTGGAGAACATGGCTCCATAAATTTTTCAGTCCTAACGCTGATGAGATGATCACGTCCCTTACCTGAATCTTGCCTCTGACTTGCTCCAGACCCCATCAGTCTTCAGTCAGCTGAGGCACTGTTCGTCTACATCCACCGACATGACGCTTACAATTTAGTGAGTCCACACAAAAGCACATAAAGCACCAAAGCGCATTTACGTAGAGTCTACACCCGCGTGGCTTGGCTAATCAGCTTCTTTTCTTCTCCGTCATTCCCTCTGTCTGGTTGAGTGACACTAATCCTGTGCACCAGCTCAGAGCAGCAGTAAGGAGGGCTGGATTTAAAGGGAGCACAGGATTAAGGCTTTATAAACTCTTATTTAATTATAATAAACAATGTGCGTTTAATTTAGGCTGTTATGAACAAGCCAGTACTAGCACTTTGATAAAAAAAATACTCAACAAGAAAATGGAAGAAGCCGCTTTGATCCATTTTTTTCTGCTAGTTTATGGCAACACCAGCTTTGCACGACAACCTTTTATCTTGAAATTCTTTATTATTATTATTATATGTTTAACTATAGTGCTGCTATACTACTTTTGATCAAGGTCTATTGCGCACTATCACGGCTCTATTATCTTTATTTATTTATTGTATACAGTAGAGTACACAAGAAGGAGAGCAGGTGGGAAATGGGCTCTTCCAAGGACAGACTCAAACCCAGACCTTTGCTGTGGCCTTTGGATACATGGGTCACCTTCTTAACCCAGCACCCCACTTTCCCTTTCTGAACCAAGCAGGAAAATAATGTGGACATCGACATTGGTTGTGTTGTGCTAGAATCGACTGTATTAAATATTACTGTGAAGCCGCTAATGGACCAGGAGAAGACAGCCCAATTATGCTATTAGCGTAGACCGTATGATAGAAGGACATGATTGGTTTCTAAAGCCCTTTTTTTAAAGCCTCAAGTTGGGCATTTCTGCTGTTGCCATGTTTGTTACAAAAAACCCACATGAAACGAAGAAGGGTGAGTCTGACAGGCAACTTATTAACCAATCACTGTGTTTTCAAACCACAGATAAGCCTATATTTGGAAACATCTTAAGACCAAGACTAACAAAGCGGTCTTAAGTTTTTATCCACAACAGCCAAAATGACTGTATGACATCATAAATTCAGCAGGAAAATGTTTACAGAGGTCAAGACTGAAACCTGTTTTTTCGTAGATTTCTATATACTGGGAAGACTTTTTGCAGACTGCAACTATCGCCATCTGGTGGCCTGCAGATAGAGGTTTTTAGGCATTTCTGTATTGGCTTAATTTTGTCTTGGAGGCTACCTCCATGTTTTGAGTGAATCTTCCGATCAATACATTGATGCGATAAAAGGATATAAACAAATCAAGGCAGTAAGATTTTGAAAATACTGGCAGGCATCCTAATAGATACACCTATGGTATCGATTCCAAAATCCAACTTTGCCTTGTTCTCGATTTATCGCATTCAGAAAGCTTGACCTCTGACCTTGAGGTCAAGGTCGCCGGGATTCGACCTTGTCCAAGGTTTTTAGTAAATGACTTTGAAACTCCTACATCGTTTTGTTCTTGAGTTATTGCATTCGCAAACTTGGGTGATGACAATACACCATCAGCCTATTATGCCTGAGGGGTAAAAATTAATGCTATTGGCTATAATGTTTTTAAGTCTTAAACCATAGGCAAATTTAATTTGGACTGCTAGCCTCCTTGAGCTTAATTTTCCATTGTCTTAAGATCTTTTTAAGGGCCTGTGGAAAAAAAAAACCCTCCCCATTAGTGAAGTGTTTTATTTTTGAAACAGTCTTCGAAGAAGAGAACACAACAGGTAACAGAGGTAACAGGGTGAGACTCAAAGACAGCAAACACATGCAACACTTATGTGCTGGGAGTCATTGGTGAGTTTTGCTTTGTTTTTAAAGAAAGCAAAAGTAGCTTAGTTTCAGTGAGTTCAGATAACATCAAAGTCATAACATCAATTAGTTATCAAGCCAGTAGTGTTGTACTAATGATGGTACTATAAGGATGTGTTCATAATACTTAATTTTACAATATGAATTCTGAAGTCTCTGTAGTGTCCTGTGTATAAACATCAACATGTTCACCGGCATCTCTGGAGTAGGTAGAAAGTCAAATGTCCATGAAAATTAAATTAAAAAAACAAACACTCATGAACAAATACAATAAACTGCTGCCCATTTATTCCTTTCTGTGCTTCCCTCGCCTCTTCTAAATGTTGTAACTGATGGTGCGTTCACGAGGTGCAGTCGCCCAATGTCGAAGATACTCTAAATCATCTTCAATGTTTTCTTCGTCCGTGTTGACTTTGAGGAAGAAAAAACAAAACAAAACAAAACCCTGAGCAACCTGCGTGAATTTGTAGACACCACAGCAAACTGCAGGAATCATGAAAAAGCTCTCCTGGGAATTCTTACCGGGATGGGAATGTGATCCAGTGGTCAACACTTCGGGACAAAGGACCACAGCTTCTTCTCCATCCGAATCATTGAAGCTTTCATCCAGATTCTTTTGGAGCTTCTCCAGCTCTTCCATCAGCTCATCCTGAGACAGACAGAGAGAGAGAGACAGCAATAGACACACAGCAGCTCAGCAAGTGTCAAGAAGTGTCACAGAAGCGGAAAACCTGACTTAAAAATAATAATGATTTAGCAAATCACACTGAGCCACATCAGGCAAATGCCAATAATGTAAGCAGACTCTAGATATCAGACAAACCAAGAATCACTGCAAAAACAAAAGCTCCAAAAAACATTAAAATCATCCTTACCTCATTAAATTCCACTTCAAATCTCACAGCTGTGTAGAGGCTGTCTAGCAAGTCTTTGGTCACGTCCTGTTCCTCAATAATGTCCTTGATCGGGTCACTGACCTTGGTGATGATTTCTCTGCAAAACCCTGAAGACAGTAGTGGTCAACACATTCATCTATTCGCCTGAAACATCCACAGTTTGAGGTAAAACACCTTTCTTGACAGGTTTGTGTTATTTTTGTTCATCTTGGCTTTGGGGAAGAAAAGAAATCCCTGCACAACCTCCATGAATTCACAGACACCACAGCCAACTGCAAGAATAAAGTCAAAGCTCTCCCGACAAGTCTTACCACGATGGGAAGGCAAAGTAGTGGTCAGCACTTTGGGACAAGGGTTCCCGTCCTCTGCTTCATCCGCCTCAAAGAGGTTTTCGTCCACATTCTTTTCCAGTTTCTCCAGCTCTGCCAGCAGCTCATCCTGAGAAAAAACATATACAGAGACACAGCAACAGGCACACAACAACTCTGGTACACAGAATCAGTGCAATCGCAGAAGTCTTCAAAAAATTAAGATCATTCTTACCTCATTAAATTCCCCTTCAAAGCCCACAGGTGTGCAGAGGCTCTCTAGCATGCCTCCAGTCTCATCCTCCTCCTCTGCAATATCCTTCATCAGGTCACTCACCTTGTTAATGATTTCTCTGCAACAGCCAGCAGACAGTTTCTTTGGTTTTTTAAATTATCTTAGTACTCAGCATTCAAAGGCCATGACAGACTTCTTTCTCATTCATACATGGCGTTATTTCACACGTTCCTGTAGTGTTTCTCCTCACATGTGTTCGTAAATGGCTCTCATGGCTTTTAAACCGCAGTCAATGTAATTGATGTGTTTCTCGTAGAACTTCTTTCTTCTTAGCGCCTGCAGAGCCGCTGGTAGGAGAGCACGGTGAAACAAAAACAGCACATGAGCAGGAATAGATTTAACTTTGCTTTTTCAGTATTTTTTTAAACAGAAAACCCCCAAAATAGAGACTGTAAAACTGTGAGGTTAAGTTAATAGATGGATCTATGGTTCATAAACATTTTGCTCAAAGAAGTCCTACCATTAATTAATGCTTCAATCTTAAATATGATGAACCTAGCTCTAATAATCAGCTATGTACTACAGACCTTCAAGCTGGCAGTGGTTAAACCATTACTTTAAAAGCCAAACCCAGCAGTCTTAACTAATTATAGGCCAATAGCACAGACACTAACTCTGGATGGCATTACCTTGGCCTCCACTAACACTTTGAGTAATCTTGGAGTCATTTTTGACCAGGATATGTCTTTCAATGCAACACATATGTAGGACTGCTTTCTAATATTTGCACAATATCTCTAACATCCTGCATCCTGATGATGAAAAACTAGGTCATGCATTTATTAATTCTAGGCTGGACTACTGTAATTCGGGATGTCCTAAAAACTCCCTGAAAAGCCTTCAGTTGAGCCAAAATGTTGCAGCAAGACAGCAATAGTACTGACAGGGACTGAAAAGAGTAGAGAGAGTAGAGAGTGTGACTCAAGTATATGTGTTGAGGTATCTGCACAAACATGTAATTCATTTGAACCTTTCCAGTACTTTTTTTTTTACTACGTTCATCTTCTTTTACGTTACTTTTAACAAGTCAAAATAAATGTATAACCAGTTTTAGTTCTTGTTTCATGGTTGTGTGGCTAACGATAGTTAGTTTAATAACTAGCTAATTAGCTTTTAGCTAGCTAAGACTGGTGTTTTATTGCTTGCCTACCCGTTTCTTTTCTTTCTTTCTTTAAATAAATATTTTTTTCTGTATAATAGCTCACCTCTTCTGTTTATTGTGCTGTTTTTCTTGGCAAAAAACTCTAGGTGGTCAATTTTCTTCTTCATAAATTCTTTCTTCTTCACCAGCAGCTCTCCTCTGGCTGGAAGCTTCTCCATCCACTCACTAACACAGGGCTCCTTCTCCACCTTTTCCCGCTATTGAAATCAAACAGAGATGTGCCTGTGAGCTTGACAGACGTGCAAAACAGCTTCAGGCTTTGACTCTGCAGTTCTTCGTGTCTTGATTATCTGCAATTTGAAACTGTAGTCAACTGAGTCCTTATGTGCCAAGTTGGAGACCTCTTTCAAAAGAAAACACATCCCTGTGCTGCAGAAACAGGTGATCACCATTGAATATCACTGTAGAAAAATATAAAGAAAATTAGGGGTGATACAATACATAATTATCATTAGTTTTCTCAGTTATTTTTATCTTTTAATTTCAAATGTTCATCTTTGACTTTGAGTTTAGCCACCATTTGTCTGCTATTTTTTTATTTATTTTTTTATCGACTTCTAGATAGCTATTTCACCTATCCATAACTTGTTAGGAAAACTGATTTCCACTGTAGATGGCTTACTATTACCCATTTCAACTGTATTTTAAAT